TAGGATGTGCATTTTGTTCCAGACAACGGAGACTGAAAACACGATGATTGTGCCAATTACATAGTTTCTTTGTTAATTTAATTCGATAGCAAAATAATTCAAATGAACTGTCGTCAAGATTTGACAGAATAGTTCTAAAATATTTGGGCGCCGAGTGAGAAGTAGACATTTGTAAAAAAATTATATTTGTAATATCTCAGCGATATTGAAATGAGTAATTCCAACGTTTCGTTCGGCAATCTGGTCCGAACTTCTTCAGGGAAATTAATCAGAATTAACATAACAGAGGTTTTATATATAAAAAAGTGTTTAACAAAGGTAGACCAATATTTGTAAGTCCGAGGTCAAATTTTGATCACAACTCATACAATTTTGTTTATTATACTTGTTAATACTTGTGTTTATGAATCATGATTGGACAAAGTTTTTAAAAACAAAAGATGTGCCTTTTATATATAAAACCTCTGTTATGTTAATTTTGATTAATTTCCCTGAAGAAGTTCGGACCAGATTGCCGAACGAAACGTTGGAATTACTCATTTCAATATCGCTGAGATATTACAAATATAATTTTTTACAAATGTCTACTTCTCACTCGGCGCCCAAATATTTTAGAACTATTCTGTCAAATCTTGACGACAGTTCATTTGAATTATTTTGCTATCGAATTAAATTAACAAAGAAACTATGTAATTGGCACAATCATCGTGTTTTCAGTCTCCGTTGTCTGGAACAAAATGCACATCCTAAATCCGTAGCTGTCGAGTCACCTGACAATTCCAGTAGGTCGAATAAAGCAGCTCAATATTCAGAAAGAAGACAATGCAATAAGTTCGACAGGGTGCTTAAACTAAACTCTAATCCTAAACACCATAATTTTGAAAATACGTCTAATCATAAAATTCTAGATACTAGCAGTTTGAACGGACATGAAGGTTTGATGTTAGCTGATGCATAGGAAATCCTGATTAATAAATAAAAATGGATATGGATCACTAATCGATAATACTTGGTCAAATTCCTGACTGTCTATATCTTCCTATGGAGACGTTAAGAATTTTTTTATAACTGTTTACACACACACGCATGCACACTCTGTTTAAAGTGTTTAACAAAGGTAGACCAATATTTGTAAGTCCGAGGTCAAATTTTGATCACAACTCATACAATTTTGTTTATTATACTTGTTAATACTTGTGTTTATGAATCATGATTGGACAAAGTTTTTAAAAACAAAAGATGTGCCTTTTATATATAAAACCTCTGTTATGTTAATTCTGATTAATTTCCCTGAAGAAGTTCGGACCAGATTGCCGAACGAAACGTTGGAATTACTCATTTCAATATCGCTGAGATATTACAAATATAATTTTTTTTTTTACAAATGTCTACTTCTCACTCGGCGCCCAAATATTTTAGAACTATTCTGTCAAATCTTGACGACAGTTCATTTGAATTATTTTGCTATCGAATTAAATTAACAAAGAAACTATGTAATTGGCACAATCATCGTGTTTTCAGTCTCCGTTGTCTGGAACAAAATGCACATCCTAAATCCGTAGCTGTCGAGTCACCTGACAATTCCAGTAGGTCGAATAAAGCAGCTCAATATTCAGAAAGAAGACAATGCAATAAGTTCGACAGGGTGCTTAAACTAAACTCTAATCCTAAACACCATAATTTTGAAAATACGTCTAATCATAAAATTCTAGATACTAGCAGTTTGAACGGACATGAAGGTTTGATGTTAGCTGATGCATAGGAAATCCTGATTAATAAATAAAAATGGATATGGATCACTAATCGATAATACTTGGTCAAATTCCTGACTGTCTATATCTTCCTATGGAGACGTTAAGAATTTTTTTATAACTGTTTACACACACACGCATGCACACTCTGTTTAAAGTGTTTAACAAAGGTAGACCAATATTTGTAAGTCCGAGGTCAAATTTTGATCACAACTCATACAATTTTGTTTATTATACTTGTTAATACTTGTGTTTATGAATCATGATTGGACAAAGTTTTTAAAAACAAAAGATGTGCCTTTTATATATAAAACCTCTGTTATGTTAATTCTGATTAATTTCCCTGAAGAAGTTCGGACCAGATTGCCGAACGAAACGTTGGAATTACTCATTTCAATATCGCTGAGATATTACAAATATAATTTTTTTACAAATGTCTACTTCTCACTCGGCGCCCAAATATTTTAGAACTATTCTGTCAAATCTTGACGACAGTTCATTTGAATTATTTTGCTATCGAATTAAATTAACAAAGAAACTATGTAATTGGCACAATCATCGTGTTTTCAGTCTCCGTTGTCTGGAACAAAATGCACATCCTAAATCCGTAGCTGTCGAGTCACCTGACAATTCCAGTAGGTCGAATAAAGCAGCTCAATATTCAGAAAGAAGACAATGCAATAAGTTCGACAGGGTGCTTAAACTAAACTCTAATCCTAAACACCATAATTTTGAAAATACGTCTAATCATAAAATTCTAGATACTAGCAGTTTGAACGGACATGAAGGTTTGATGTTAGCTGATGCATAGGAAATCCTGATTAATAAATAAAAATGGATATGGATCACTAATCGATAATACTTGGTCAAATTCCTGACTGTCTATATCTTCCTATGGAGACGTTAAGAATTTTTTTATAACTGTTTACACACACACGCATGCACACTCTGTTTAAAGTGTTTAACAAAGGTAGACCAATATTTGTAAGTCCGAGGTCAAATTTTGATCACAACTCATACAATTTTGTTTATTATACTTGTTAATACTTGTGTTTATGAATCATGATTGGACAAAGTTTTTAAAAACAAAAGATGTGCCTTTTATATATAAAACCTCTGTTATGTTAATTCTGATTAATTTCCCTGAAGAAGTTCGGACCAGATTGCCGAACGAAACGTTGGAATTACTCATTTCAATATCGCTGAGATATTACAAATATAATTTTTTTACAAATGTCTACTTCTCACTCGGCGCCCAAATATTTTAGAACTATTCTGTCAAATCTTGACGACAGTTCATTTGAATTATTTTGCTATCGAATTAAATTAACAAAGAAACTATGTAATTGGCACAATCATCGTGTTTTCAGTCTCCGTTGTCTGGAACAAAATGCACATCCTAAATCCGTAGCTGTCGAGTCACCTGACAATTCCAGTAGGTCGAATAAAGCAGCTCAATATTCAGAAAGAAGACAATGCAATAAGTTCGACAGGGTGCTTAAACTAAACTCTAATCCTAAACACCATAATTTTGAAAATACGTCTAATCATAAAATTCTAGATACTAGCAGTTTGAACGGACATGAAGGTTTGATGTTAGCTGATGCATAGGAAATCCTGATTAATAAATAAAAATGGATATGGATCACTAATCGATAATACTTGGTCAAATTCCTGACTGTCTATATCTTCCTATGGAGACGTTAAGAATTTTTTTATAACTGTTTACACACACACGCATGCACACTCTGTTTAAAGTGTTTAACAAAGGTAGACCAATATTTGTAAGTCCGAGGTCAAATTTTGATCACAACTCATACAATTTTGTTTATTATACTTGTTAATACTTGTGTTTATGAATCATGATTGGACAAAGTTTTTAAAAACAAAAGATGTGCCTTTTATATATAAAACCTCTGTTATGTTAATTCTGATTAATTTCCCTGAAGAAGTTCGGACCAGATTGCCGAACGAAACGTTGGAATTACTCATTTCAATATCGCTGAGATATTACAAATATAATTTTTTTACAAATGTCTACTTCTCACTCGGCGCCCAAATATTTTAGAACTATTCTGTCAAATCTTGACGACAGTTCATTTGAATATACTACCTTTGTTGATAAGAATTTGAAGCTGTTTGATATCGACTCCATTTTTTATGTGAACACGACTTCGAGGCAATTCTTGTCAATGGCCTCTCAAGTTGGTCGAATAAACTGGAGTTCACTAAAATTGAAGAGATTTGCCATAATCAGATAACCTTGGTTAAGTGAGTTCCATTTTCTGTTTTATTCCTTTACGTTCTCAGAGGAGCATATGGCTCCAAACTAGAGACTTGAAGTTTCTGTAGCCGCTTCATGCCCAACCTTCCCTATTTACCAGTTTTACTACTGGCCTAGTAAGGTGAATGACTGTGTTGGTGGCTGGAGATCGAAGCCCTGACCACATGAGGCGTGGTTGACGAGCACTCTACCACTATGCCACTGACACACGAGTTCATATGACCTTTGAGAACATCCAGAGTAACAACGTTAATCTTAGGGTAGTCAATAGAGATGCCAAACTACTAATTTCATGCAATCAGCATTATATAAAATGAATGAGAAAATATATACATTCATCATAAAACGTTTACATGAATGCTGAATTTTCCTGTATCTGGAAACGTGTACAGTACACAACTCACCATGAACGCGTGAAGAGAATCGTATCGTCCACAAAATCGCCAACCACGAAAGCTTCACCACCAATAACCAATTTCTTTTCTTCTTCTGATTCTTCAACAGTCAAGGAAATGTAGAGGATTAGTTTGTGGTCACATATTTTTTGAGGTCAGTGTGAAACAAGCCTATTTCTCATAAATATAAATCAAGTGAATGGTGTATATGTTTGAATAAATATGTTGTGATTTGCAGAAAGATACCACACAACTCTTTGTTATGGTAGGAATAAGTAATTGGCACGTCGATTTTGAAGCTACAGAGCACAGAGTGAAGTAATGCTTCTCATTTTGACGATGAATGACACTAGTGTGTGAAAGTCGTTGCGTCGATGTGCATTGTTGCTTTTACCACTCCATTTTAAATAGAGCAGAATGGGATGTAGCTAATAGAGCGTGGAAGCTGACTGCAGTTGTTCTTTGTGATACCAAGATGAAGTGAGAAGTCACAGAGAGTACTCAAAATAGAAACATGATTCACATGGCTAATAGGATCTTACCTGAGAAGTCTCTTGGATCACATTCGTAGTATGGGTACCAATGCTCCACATAATTAGTGGCAAAGATACGAAAACATGAGGAAAGTATAACTCGATAGCCAGCTGATGTTATGTTCTTGACACGCTCTTGCCTTTCCGAATCATTCCGTACTTGGAACACAGTTTTTTTCTCCTCCGGCTAAATGAGAAAATTTCGATAATTGATTAGGATGAAAATAAATTTTGAATTTAATTTGATTGGTTCATTTTGAAAGATATGATGATAACGTTATTTAAATTCAAGGCAATGCAGTGGAGATGACACATCAGCTGTGTAAGTATTTATATGGAGCAGATCTGCACCCTTCTCTCCATTGCTAGCTTATGTATATTTTTACAAAGCAGAGATATCCAATGTTTTACTCAGGACTGAATGCCACTCAATGCTTTCAACATCATCCGCGTCCAAATTAAATGGAAATGATCTTTTATGCTCTTTGAACCATTTTTGTCCTCAGTTCTGTGCAAAATGAAGACGATTTTCTTCAGCAACAGTCAATATATGTTTCAGAAGGATCATCATAGCATGAGAGACCTGAAATTCTGAGAACAATGACCTAATATCTTTAACCTATTACTTGAAGTTCTAGCAACAACTATGAAACGCATTATAATTTAGACCATTCTTATTATAAATTATTACAATGTTATTATTATTACTGCTTCCTATAATTCACAGAGGAACGTAGGCATTCAGCCAAACGTCTTCACTGAGTTTGGTACTCTGCCAATGTTTTCACCTGGATCCACGTCTGCCCACATGCTATTATCTCCTGTTCACAACACCGCCTCCATGTCACCGTCATACTGAAGATCAACCCGTTGCTTCACACTCGGCCTACCGTGTGATGTCACTTGATGGTTTGTTTTCTCAGAGTGTGGCAGATCCACCTCCATTTGGTGCGTCGGTGGCACAGCGGTTAGGACTCTCGCCGACCATGCACATGGTCCAAGGTTCGATCCCCCGCCGACGCACACCTGATATCTATGGTCGGCCTGGTAAATTTGGGCTACCGATATCACATGCTGAAAATTTCATACTTGTACCAAAATACTGTGTGGAATCAAGCTATAATAAAATAAAATAAAAAATTTCCTCCTGCAGATTTGTTGCACAATGAGTTCTTGTATGGTTGGTTTTCTCCCAGATATCCATGTTGCTGATCTCTTCTGGCCAGCCATCTGATCTTGAATAGTATTGAGCGAAGACAGCAGTTGATGAAGATCTTTAGTTTGTTCGAAGTGACCTTCATGACGCACTGGCCAAATCTCTCATCCATATAGTAAGTAGCACTGACTTCACATTGGAGTTTAAAATCCGGATCTTATTTTCATGTTCTTGCTGAGTAGGGCTGTTGACCTCCACACAAACTTGAAAGTAATGAAAGCTTGCCTAGCCTTCCGGATCCTCAAAGCTTTGATATCCTCATCAGTTTCACCTGCCTGTGGTTGAAACGATGCTTCCCAGGGAGGTAATTAGGTGAAGGAGGTTGCTTCTTTCAGATTTCTCTCATTTATGCTGGCTGATTGTTGTCTGTTATTGTTGCTGTTGCTGCTGGCCAGGAACACTCATCACCCAATTCTGTCTTCTCTGTGTTCATCTGAATGCCTATACTCTCTGGTTGGTTCTTCTATCACCAACTTGTTGATTTTCAATTGCATATCTTCTAGTTTGTGGGAAATCAGACATATATCAACAGTGAAGTCCAGATCCTCCAAGTGTTTTGTGTGTCCATTTTATGCCTGTCACCTCGATGCTCGTCCAGCTGTCTGTCGCATTATCCAGTCTACCGCCCTCGATCAGGAAAATCATTGGAGATAGTAGGCAGCTAGCCAGCCAGCTTGTGTTACTCCCGTCTTCAGTTCGAAAGATTCCGTGAGTTTCCGGTTGCGGATTACTTGGCATGCAGCATTGTCGTATCACAAATTACTTAAGAATAATGATGAACAATCCACAGAGACTAGGTAATCAAGAGGGACGAGAAAGTATTCATCATAAACCACAAAGAGATAATATTCTAAAAAATAGAAGATGATCCACCTACACGATAGCCATTCTCGAATGCGTCCTCCCAAACAACTGGTGTGATAGAACCCCTTTCCTGTTGAACAGATTGAATAGCTTTGATAAGTTCGTCAAAATAATATGACTCGAGTCGCCCAAAGTCTTCGCGGAAACCATGCGTCTCCATGAATTCCAAAATCTCAGGATTTGATTGCCTGATTAAACGGAAACAGTTTCAAATATGTTAGAAAATATAAATCACATAATGTTCTCTGCCGAATGATAGTCAGATTTATGAGTGAATAGGTTGTCAATTGTAAAGAAGTCTCCTAGAGTTATATTTTTCCCTTAACTACATTTTGCTTATTTCCAAGTACTGATTAATCACAGTGATGTGAATGGAGTGGAGATAACTTGTGAAAATACAACGAACAAATTTCATCTTCTCTACACTTTCAGATATAATGAAAGTGTCATCTATATATGACTGATATAATTCAAATTGGTTGGCTGCTACGCCTAGATGTGTATTTCGTCTATTTTGGACATCACAACGGATAAAAATACAAGTGAAAATCAATACTGCACTAACAGGTATCATGTGTTGTCTGGAAGGTATTCTGCTGGACAACTTTGGAGGTTGAGAATATGCTCACATTCCACAATTCATATTAAGGCAAAAAAGAGGTAAAATTTTACACTAATTCATAAGAATGAACATGAACTTCCAGTGTATTTGATTATATCTAGCAATGTCATATAATTAACCCTGACTAAAATGTATTAAGACACTGAGACTGAACACCACCACGGGCTTCTGATCATTACCCAGCGTCGCTGGATGCCATTTGGGTGGCAATTTGAGGAGACTGTATGGATTCACTGATTACTAAGATACTGATAATCTTTGACCTGACACTAATAACTATTGTGATGTGTCTACTGCTTTGTTTGGTGCAGACTCAATTCTGTTGGTCAGGTCAGCAATGTGACCACCATTCAATGTAGATCGCCGTCACGATGCATATTAATATGATGACACTTAATGGCTGAGGGCAATCAGCCATAGGAAACCTTGGACCTAGGTTTCGAGGTATTTGGCACTCACAAGTCAGTAATCTTGAATAAATTCATGTCCCTCCTGAGATTCGAACCCGAGTCACTCAGTGCTTCCTGCAGACAAACGCGTCAACCCTGAGCTATTCGGGTACACGAATGACCTCCTGTAAGACTGTATTGGATATTTTTTGTTTGGACACCAGTCAGTAACTAGTGTTATGTGTGTGCCTAGTCTGTCAAGTTTGCAATGTGGCCACCATTTCAAGATGGGTCTCCTGTTCATTCACTGAAGGATTGCACGACAGTACTTATTTCAATACTCAATAAAACCATCAACATCTGAATGGTTATCGCACGTTGTACCTATGAACTTGTGACATGATCAACATTCATTCATGAATAGACGATCAGAAAACTACTCACCAACATTCAAACGATACATCATCACCACCCAAGTGAATAAATCTCTCTGGAAATCTTGAAGTGGTTTCATTGAAAAACGATGTGAGAAATTCCATTGTGGTCTGATTTGTAGGATCAAATGGACCAGTTCTTCCATTTGGTAAACCTTCAGTATAACACTTTGTTCGTAATCCAGGATGACCCTTCTCCCATGATCTTGTATGACCTAAAATCAATAATACAGAGAATGAGTCAGTTTTACCTCACATGCAAATTTTCTGTCTAACTGAGAATTATTGGCAAAGGCCAGAGGATGAGTCACAGATTTCTACTCAACACATGTAATTCCAGATTACATAACTGAGAAATGTATAAATTGAAGGACCTTAAGAGATGAAGTAATTTGTAAAAAGTTTATATTTGTAAAATCTCAGCGAGATTGAAATGAGTAATTCCAACGTTTCGTTCGGCAATCTGGTCCGAACTTCAATATTTGTAAGTCCGAGGTCAAATTTTGATCACAGCTCATACAATTTTGTTTACTATACTTGTTGGTACTTTTTGAATGTTTCTTGATTGGACAAATTTTTAAAAACAATTGATATTCCCTTTTATATATAAACCTATGTAATGTTAATTTCGATTAATTTCCCTGAAGAAGTTCGGACCAGATTGCCGAACGAAACGTTGGAATTACTCATTTCAATCTCCCTGAGATTTTACAAATATAAATTTTTTACAAATGTCTACTTCTCACTCGGCACCTAAATATTTTAGAACTATTCTGTCAAATCTTGACGACAGTTCATTTGAGATGAAATAATTATTGCAGAATAAAGCATTAAACCCCTTGATTTGAATGAATAAATGAAAGATTGCCTCATTTAGAGATTAATAAACAAAAAAGAGATTGCTAATAACATGGATCACTGAATATGGGGATAGAATCTCAAAGATGGTAGATTATACAACACAGAATGGCATGTTGTTCACTTACTCGGAGTATCGAATTCCACCACCACACGTATTCCACGCGAACGAGCATAATTCAGTAAATGCTCAACAACCACTTGTTCATAGACTAACTGTACTGGGTGATAAGCACCCTACGCAGAACGAATAATGATGAAGTGAAACAAAACAAAAGAAAATACCATTTGAGAGAGTTGAGGATCCGTGGATGATCCGTACGGGAATGAACTATCATCTGTGATTTGCCAATGAAATACGTTCATTTTAGCGAAGGCCATAGCATCCTGATGGGTTGTAAAGTTAAATGAGAGAGAGAGACAATATGGAAGGCAGACTTACAAGAAAATTCTCCAACACTTCAACACTGATGAAATGAGCAGCAGTGTTGACTACAAATCCTCTGTGAGTGAACTGGGGTGAATCTTCAATTGTAGATTCGTTTATTACTAGCTAGATGAAATAGGTTGACAATACATGAATATTCATGGGGTCATTTACTCACAGTCCCTAATTCATTTCTGTGCGCCAGTTGTAAGACAGTCTGTAGTGCATGTAATGTTCCCCACACTTCAGGAGATTTGATTTCAATAATCGCATTCGATATGATAATTGCGTCTGCATTAGTGAGTTAGTTATGTATGAATGTTGTGAATATACAAAATTAACCTACATGATTCATTCATCTTCTCACTTGGCCACAA